AAACTCCTCAATTGATTTTATAAGGCTAGAACCACCCTGATATGAAATTCAGACAATGGCTATATAAGAAAATTACAAACTAATCTTACTCAAACATATATGTAAACATCTTAAGCAAAATATCACCAAGTTTGCTCCAACAATCGATTTGTTAAAATTATACATTTCAACAAGAACAGCCCATAGAATGTAACATCAACATAATTATTAGAAATCATGAAAAGCCAAGGGGGGGGACTCCAAGGATGGCCAACTAACTGCAGCCTGTAGGAACATCTCTGAAAGGACCAGGACGACTGGCACACTCCTAGCAGATCTTCAGAGGGAAGGCACTGAGTGCTGACAGAGGGAAGACACAGATGCTGGACTGAAGAGGGAAGAAGCGAGGAACCCTGCACAGGGCTACTGTGTACCGGGACTTTTTCCTGGTCCCCAGTGACTCCTGAAGAGGCAGTTGAGTTAACAGAGAAGGAGCAGCCCACTCTTACCAGAGGACTCTGGGATCCCTGAAGGAGGAGACTCCTTCACCACAAAGAGACCTCTCAACCACCAAAGACATTTGAGTTGGCAGGGAAAGCTGCTTAAAGAAGTGGTAGGGGCACAACTCCAGCCAGGGCAGAGCTCAGAGGGTTTGCTGCTGGAGAATCTGTAATGGATCAGGGCCAGGGATGCCCAACCCACAAGGCTCGACTTGCTCCATCCCATAGGAGACTTTACTCCTAGAGGAACTCTCAGACCTGAACTGTGCAAGGCAGTCTTGCCCATAAGATGGGGGCAGTGCGAAATGAGCACCCCTCAGTTTACTGGTCTCTCATAGGGTCCCAGCCTGGCCGGGATGCTTGCAGTGCTGCCCCCGGGTACCTCCGCGGGGCCATATACCAGCTCCTGCATTGGCCAGGTGCTGACAGGCAGAGTGCTCCACCAGAGTGATCCCTGTGGAAAAGCACCAGCCTGCCAATACCTTCCTCCCTCTGAAGGCTGCCCCACTCTGCTTTACCTGCAGGCACTCGCCCACAGCCACCCCAAAAATGCTTTGCCCACACGAATACACAGGTGGACCTTGTTTTCCCTTCCCCGCCAGCAAACATGTGCACAGGCACCCTCCCATGGGTGCTGCTGCCAGCGTAAGTACACTCTGCCCATCCCCCCACCACCATTGTCAAGGGAGCACTGGCAGGTACAGAGACCACCAGTACCATCACCACCAGCACCCAGCCCTGCACCAACATGAAACTAGGCAGAGAAAACAGAGGACCTACCCCCACCCTTAGCGGCCACTGCCACCAGCATGAACATGCACAGAGGGCACATCCAGTCCTGTACCCATCAGCACCCTGCCCCTGTGCTACCACCACCACCAGTGCAAATGTGTACCTGCAGCCCCCTACCCCGGCCTTACCACTGCTGCTGCCAATGCCCTCATGGAGGCCAGTACTCTAGCACCCATTAGCACCTCCTTGCTACAGCTGCTGCTGGCACATATGAACAAGAATGGATTCTACTGCCACCCCCCTACACTTTGGCTTGCACAACCCATGGTGTATTGTGACCAGAGGTCCAGGAGCACTTTGGCCCCTCCAGTGCAGCAGGTCCCTAACCTTGCAGAACCAAAGAACAAAGATGGGGGCCAATACCAATTGCACCAATACCAGAAGTACATACTCCCTGAGTCCTCAGCTGAGCCCTGGCCCTTCCAGTAATGAAGTCAGTTGACTGAAGCCACCTTGTACCACAAACATCCAAGGTCATCAAATAGGATAAAAGAAAAAGAAAACAAAATAGTAACTTCAAAGACTGAAGGAACATCAGCCCACAAAGATGACAAAGCACCAGTAAAAGAACTCTGATGACTCAAAAAGCCAGAGCATCTTCCTTCTTCTAAAACAAACGACTGCACTAGTTCTCCAGCAAGGAATCTTAACCAGAATTATATGGTTGAAATGACAGACATGAAATTCAAAATATGGATAGGAATGAAAATCATTGAGATTCAGGAGAATGTTGAAACTCTATCTACAGAGCTGACGGACAAAATAGCCAGTACAGAAAAGAATATAAATGACCTGATAGAGCTGGAAAACACTCTATTTTTCTTTTTTTTTTTTTTTTTTGAGAAAGAGTCTCACTCTGTCACCCAGGCTGGAGCGCAGTTGTGCAATCTCAGTTCACGGCAACCACCACCTCCTGGGTTCAAGCAATTCTCCTGCCTCAGCCTCCAAGTAGCTGGGACTGCAGGCACATGCCACAACGCCCAGCTAATTTTTGTATTTTTATTAGAGACAGTGTTTCACCATATTGGCCAAGCTAGTCTTGAACTCCTGACCTTGTGATCTGCCCACCTCAGCCTCCCAAAGTGCTGGTATTACAGGCGTGAGCCACCACGCCCGTCTCACTCCATAACAATTTCATAATGCAATCCTAACTGTTAACAGCAGAACAGACCAAGCTTATAAAAGAATCTCAGAGCTTAAAGACTGACTTTCTGAAATAAGACAGACAAGAATAAAGACAAAAGAATGAAAAAGAACAAACAAAATCCCAAGAAAGATGGGATTATAAAGAGACCAAATCTACTACTCAG